TTCCACAGCTGGGGGGGAACTGGGTGATGTTCCTGCATACAGCCTTAAACTATGGCAGAAAACAGGTGGAGAATAGGCAGAGCAGCTCAACAGGGAGGCGGAGACAAGTAGAAAGTAAAGGCTCCCTGTGCTGCCTTCTCTTCCTCCTCCTTGCAACCAACTGGGCAGGCAGGAAAGGACGAGCTCACCTCTTGCTTATAGTCATTATTTCTATTCAGAATTTGAGTGACGAAAGCAGATATTAAGCTTGAATCTCTGCAGCCTCATGAACTGCACTTGGAAGAGTACAGGAGGGGTCAAAGAAAAAACAATGCTCCCATTTAACTTCGATGTCTGCTTTCCTTCTGCTGTGCGTTAAGCCCACAGCTTGAGGGATTCCCATCGGAAACTAGCACCCGACTAACTCTGGTGTGCAAGTCTCTCTTTTCCTGATGGATTTTACAAAAAGAGAGGTCGGTCCCGTATTTGTAATTGTTAATTCCCACTGTTGTTGCTGCTCTCACAAGGATTGCACTAAAGAGGTAGGTGAGAATGTCAACTCTAGAAAAAATTGCATAGTAGCGGCAAAGGATTTGGGGGTAGTGAATCAGATTGATTAACAAATGTGAGCTGCTTTGTATTTGCTTAGAATGTCCTCAGCTTTTAAACTTGCTTGTACTTTTCCTCCAACTTCCTAATGAACATTCAAATCCTAAGCAGAGTAGCTAGAACACTTAGTTCCTGCTATTGCCTATCTGTGTTGCTCTTCACTGAACTGTTTAAAAATTTTTTTTAAAGTTCTCAGGTCATGTTGACATTGTGTTCACTATTTTCTTGGTATAAAAGGCACTGATTGTACCTTCTCTTGCAATATTTTCAGTATATTTTGAATTAGAGTGAGGTGATAAACTACTTATCCATTTATTTGGTGTGCTAACTCATGTAAAATGCTACTACATATTTCTAGGCAAAAGTTGTTAAGAAGAGTTTTCATGCTTAAAAGCTTGAAAATGTATAATTTTCTAAGAGTACAGAGTTTGCTTTTAGTGGATCGTATAACCATATAAATGTGGGTGTTGCAGTTTTCAAATTCAGTTGTTTGTTTTTTTTTAACCTGATTTAAACCTGATAAAATCACAAACTTCTTACATTTCACTTGTCTTACTTGTGATAATCTCCTGTATTTAAGATGAAGACTAAGATAAGTACTAGTAAGTATTCAGCTTTGCATAAGTTGCGTTTTGTGCTGCCTGTATATACACCAACATTGTAAAGGTTTGGATGCCTTCTCAAAATGTGTTTGGTGAGTTCTACTTTGTTAGCACTGTTTTCAAGAGACACAGTTGTGCTCACATGAGCTGCAGCACTTGTACTCCATGTGCAAGTGGGAGAGCTAGTGCAACGGTGCAGCAAACCAGGCTGGGGATCTTGGTCTCACTGGAAACCACTGCAGGCTTTTTTGGCTGAGTTTATTTCAAGTCTGCTAAAAACCATGATGTGGTTCATTATGCAGCTGTGTAAATGCATTTGCCAGCCTTAGGGAGGAAATGACATGCATGTGGGAATGGGAGATGGAGAAAGAGGAGACTGCTGCTTTCAGCAGCCATGTCAGTTTATGACGTTGTAGATAATAGCTTGAGAAAATGTACCTGTTATACCTATTTACAAGTTTTTAGTCTGCAAGAGCTCTTCCTTTCAGTTCCTTACAAAATTTGTAAGTTATAATTTATAATAGTATTTGGGTATTTAACTCTGATTAAATTTCCAGTGGACAATGGGACAAATAGATAAAAAAAAAAAAAAGTCCTATGGTTTTTCTAAGCAGTTTGGGTACTGGGGAGAAAATGGTGAGAGACATGTTTGAATGAGACCATCTTGCAAAGTGTGCAGTGTTAAAACCAGGAAACAGTGAGGACTGCAGTGCCTTTGGGTTCAGAATCTAATCAAAGTATGCTTGGCTGCACATCTCATGAGCTTTTAAGGACACACGAAGGTTATTTGAATCGCAGGGTCTCCCTCTGGTTTCTCTGTAATGGCGTGATACAAGGGAAGGATATCTCTGGGTAGAAAGGGGTCACTGATTTATTGATTATCATTAATACTATCTTCTGTCTTGTTATGTGAAGCAGTCTTTCACTTTTGGCAGTCAAAAGCAAAAAACGATTTTCAAAGCTGAGCATAGTCTGAGCTTTGGTATAAGGGGCTCTTGGCCAGTTAGGCAGTTCTTACTGACTGTGGAAAAAGCTGAGAAAAGCAGCTGCTTGTGAACACCCAATCCTGTATTAGTTTTAGGTCCCAGTGTGAGTGTATCTGAGATTTTCTGAGGGAAACCTCAATTATGGAAGCTATGGTGGAGGAGGTCTTGGCTGGGGAGAGCTTTTTTCTTAACTGTTCTTTTTTTTTTTTTTAATTCACAAAATGGAGTACTATAAGGTGGCCCTCATGGAAGGTCCCAAAGATTTTGGACACTTGCTTAACATCTTTCAGTATAGAGATATACAGGGTAGCAGACTGAGTCACCGATTTGAAAATGTTTTCGTAGCTACTCTTCTTCAGGCTTTGTGCAAGAAGAGAGCATGTGGTCAAATAGTCACCAAGAAGGCTTATGTTCTGGTTTCCCTATGTTAATGCTTTTTTGTCTTATATTCATCTTAGTTTTTAGGTTTTTTTAAAATGAGATAATGCCACAGATCCGACACCTTCCTTCTGCTGCCGCAGTGTAAATGAACGTGCAGGTGGGCAGCTGCTATGGCTGGAACTTGGGCTGCTTAGGAGTATTAGATAAGTTTAAATTTTAGACAACTTCTCTGGCAAATTTAGGTACAAACCTATGCAACAAGCAGGCAAATAACTATTGCACAGATTATCTGCATATATATGAATATAAGCGAGCATTTTATTCTGTGCATATATGAACCTGAATTCCTGGGACTATTTTAAGCTCAGCCACATAATGAAAGATGGGCGTATCTGCCATGTGAGCAAAGACAAATACACAGGCATTCTATGCAAGTAGTAAATGCTAAAAGCATTTTTATAAAATTCATTGTATTGCTTTGTGGCATCCTGCTGGAAAGCGAGAGATTTGTGGTATGGCTGTAGTACTCAAGCAAACTTGCTCTGGTGCCTTATCAGCTGAGGCATTTATCTCCAGAAGTCTTACTTTCATTGGAGCTTTTTAGTGTTAAATCAACGTTCACTGACAGGCCGTGTTTCAGATCTTAGTCTTGCCACAGTACGCTCCTCAGTTCTGTAATCTCAATTGCTGAAATGTCATAGGGGCAAATTTTAGAGCTTCTAAGTAGAAAACTGAGAATGCTGTTTTAACAGGAGGTTTTTACTAAGGGAAAGATCTGTGTCTTTCTATAGCTCTTCTTCTTTCTTTTCAAATTTTGGATGTGATCACCAAATTTCAGATGTGATCACAACACCCTTGCACAATGACAAATAGTGCTGTTCTTCACGGAAAGACTGGGTGTTTGTGCTCTCCCAGTCTTGTTTTTGCATCTGTTTGAAGTAAACTGTGCCCTCTCGTGGAAGAGCATGGTAAGGAATGTCTTAGGTAGTGAACGCATGAAGTCAATACACTGCCAAGTTTGGCCAAGAAAAACAATATCTAAATGTAGATGAAAATTACCATTGTATTAAGTCAGCGTTCAGTTAAATGAAAGTCTGCAGCTGCAAAGGCTCTGGTTGAAAGACTTGACTCTTTACATTTCAAGGCTTCCTTTGCACTGACAGTAAAGAAGTGCTATATTTTCATATTCCACATGGGTGAGAAGGGATATCTAATGGTACACTGAGAGAAATACTTCCTTGTTAAGACACAGATTATGCTGTCTGTATTGTTTCTTCATTTATATCTGTACTTGAGTCTGTTTCTTTCATTTATTTTTTTTACTTGTAATTGACCAGTTACACAGGGTCAGATGTGTCCAATGTATGTGGCAATTCGTATTATATGTTGCTATATTAGTACTATATCTTACTGTGTGTCAAATTATACCAATTTCAGGATTGTTTGACTTGAAAGTTTGGACACATCACATAAACAACATTTGAACAAGGTGGCTCCATCCTTGCTTGCTTTCTTCTTAAAACACAGAATTTGAAGCTAAAGGCTGAATCAAGTAAAACTGAGTGCCAAGTTTTGCTGGTTTGGACAACTGCCCCCTGAAAAAGAGCTCTTGGCCATGATTTAGTGATGGAGTTTGGTCTTCTGTGTCTTCAGCATTCTGCAGAACTGGTCATACCTTGTGGTCTAGTTACTTGACTGAAATGAGTAGTTGCTCGCACTTAGATTTTGTTTCTATCTGTCCCCAATGGCTTTAACATGTACTGAGGAAAGAATCATCATACATTGTTGAAGGGCTTTTGGAAAGGTGTGTATTGTGAAACTAACTTTCCTGAACTCGCAACAGCAATTATACAAGAGCATGGTTTGAAATTATTAGATTTGAGAAGAGCTAAGATATAAGGAATTTTTTTTCCTTTCCCGTTCTTCTTTTTTAAACACTGATCATGTTATGTAATGATCCAGTCAGATCATTCTGAGCTATTGTTTTTCCCATAAAATCATTCTGCCAAAATTACTTCATCTAATGGCATGTTGGGAACATTCTGGGAAGCAACAGAATCCTTTGAAGACTCTTAAAGTCAGTCTTGTGGGTTCTTGCGTTAGTGTCTAATAGGAAACATTTTTTTCTCTGATCATCATACCTTCTGTAGAAAAAGATGAAATGGTAAGCTTATGCTTATCATAGCCTGGCACCTAACTGTTGAAAGCTTCTGTCATGGAAGTCTAATCAAGAAATGCTGAAAAAAATCCATGTTTGAAAAAATCACTAGCAAACAGATGAACAATAATACTGGAGGTAGATTTCCTTACAACCTCCACTAGTGGGGAATTCTACCCAGTTACATGCTGAATAAAAACAGTTGGTTTGTAAGTGAATATTTGCACAAACAAAACTTAAGTCAAGTGGACCTTCCAGATTTTTCTTGTTATTTGTATGTTTCAGGGTGTCAAGCCTGCCAGCTTTGATAAAGTAGCGATCCCTGAAGTGAAGGAGATTATTGAGGGATGTATTCGGCAAAACAAAGGCGAAAGGTAAGCTTTCTTTCCATACTGATAGAGAGATTACTTCTGTCTGAATCTGTAGCTTGTTAATACTAGGTACAGTTAATTACTGGGAGCTGATGCAAGTTAGAAAGTGAATATTTTTTTCTGCAGGTTCTATTCTCTGGTAGGTTCTCATTTGTTTTATGGCATTAGTGCAAGGAAAAGTACAAATGCTGTAGTAACCATCCATGTAAGTTTATTCGGAAATTCTACTGTTCTTACTAAAATTTTGATCTAATCAGTAAAATTAGATCAAATTAGTATATTAGTATTAGTATATTAGTATATGATGATCTTTCCAAGTTACCACTTAATGGGATTAAATTGTTGGATCTTCATTCTGTAGCCCTGTTGGTTTTTTCTTTTTTTTCTTTTTTTCCTTTTTTTCTTTTTTTCTTTCTTTTCTTTTTTACTTTTTTCTTTTTTTCTTTTTATCTTTTTTTTTTCTTTTTTTCTTTTTTTCTTTCCTTTTCTTTTTTTTTCTTTTTTCCTTTTCTGTCCCTTTGATTCTGTTGGCATTTATAGCTAATTATTTTGAGGGCTCTTTATTTTTCAAGTTATTGATATTTGTTTTCATTCAAATTTTCTGCAAGATTATTTTGGCTTGAAGTGATTAGCTTAGACCATTGCAGAAAATGTGTAGCTGTTCTAATGGTTTATTAATGGATTTTGGTTTTTTTTTTCTGCTTTTATTTAGTTGCTTACTGATTGTTGGGTTTAAGAATGCTTCAATTTTCTGTCTTTTTCTAGCTTTTCACTGTTCTATTCTGAGCCTGTTCTGTTGGTGTAGTATTGTCTTCTGTTAATTCTCAGAGTTTTACATCTAATGCTGTTGCTGTGTACTTTTGACTTAAACATTTAAAGCAATTATGTATTTTTCCAATTCTGAACTAATTTTCTGAATGCATGGCACTTGTTCCTTGCCTTTTATCTTAACCACTTAGCCTTCAGACCACTGCTACTACTCTGTGGATATATTACTAATGTTTTTGTACTTTCTCGACAAAGGTAACTGTGGGAAACTGTGCAAGTTGAAATGGTTGAAAATAGTACAAAATATGAAAAGTGTTTCACTAGTGCTGAATTAACTAGGTTAGACTTTTGTCAATATCTTCTCTCAATATCTTTAAATAGACTGAAATACATGTTTCATCACTGCTGAACTGATCTGGGAACTAAGAGTTGTGTTTTGGATCTTAATCTTTAGGAAAACCAAACTGTTCCTTCAAGGCTCATAATTTTAGGCAGTGGACACTTGTGTTAATTAATGTGTGACATTTTTTTTCCTAAATCTGTAGAGCTGTTGCATTTTATTCCTTCATCATACTTTTAGATACAAATTTGCATGATGAGCTGTCAAGTGGTTAATGAGAGGAAACATGAAATGTAGATGATAAATTCAGGAGGTTGTCAGGCAAGGATATTGCTTAATATTTGATGAAAACCTAACAGTGTATGTGCTCTCCACATTGTTTTCCAATCTGCTAGATATGCTATTAAGGACCTTTTGAATCATGCTTTCTTCCAAGAAGAGACTGGAGTACGGGTAGAACTAGCAGAGGAAGATGATGGAGAAAAAATTGCCATTAAACTCTGGCTGCGAATTGAAGACATCAAAAAACTTAAGGGCAAATACAAAGATAATGAGGCAATAGAGTTTTCCTTTGACTTGGAGAGAGATGTCCCAGAGGATGTAGCACAGGAAATGGTAAGTGGTGGCAGTCTTGCAAAACATTGAAGGTAATGGCATTCTTTGACAATTAGATGTCATCCATCAGCCTCTGCATTTACTGTTACTGTCTAGAAATAAAACTGCTTCAGAAGTCTATGAATGAGAAGTTAGTGCAAGAGAGTGATAGCTTATATTGTAGCACAATAGTGGCTGTCTATGACAGTCTGAATTCTGTGAATATATCCTCCTTCAGGTGGAATCTGGCTATGTCTGTGAAGGGGATCACAAGACAATGGCGAAAGCTATCAAGGACAGGGTATCTTTGATTAAGCGAAAGCGAGAGCAGCGTCAGTTGGTGCGAGAAGAACAGGAGAAGAAGCTTCAGGAAGAAGGTAGTCAGAAGCAGCAGCTGGAGCAACAGCAACCCTCAAGTGCTTCCCATGCAGGGTCAAAGCATCCCGTATCTGTCAGTGGTACTACTCCTGTCCCCACTACTTCAGCATCTGTTTCTACTCAAGTGGAGCCTGAAGAACCAGAAGCTGATCAACACCAACAACTGCAGTTCCAGCAACCCAGTATATCTATTCTTTGTAAGTGTGTTAGTTGATTTCTTTAGGAACTCTTGCACTTACACTATTTCACCTGCCCTTAGGGAGTCTGGAATCTGAATTGCCTTAATATTTTTAAGGCAAAAATGATGCAGGTATTTCAGATCATGGTTTTGTTTCTGAAAAAATCACTCCCCTGTTCTGTACCAAACACGAGCACATAAGTTAACACTCCCAACTTTTCCTCTTCTGCCATCCCAATGTTAGAGTCAGTATCTGAATAATGATATTAAATGAGAAGCTCCGTATCAGAAGTTAGCAAGCAAATTATTATCTGTTATAAGTAATAGAGATTTTAAGTTCTCTGTTATGCTTATTTTAACTGCATCTGCCAGCTAGTACAATTGACCTGTTTTATGCTTTTATGAATAATAAAATAAAAGTGAAAAGCAAACAAACAAGACAATAAGCAAACCTGAAACATCATTCATAACAAAGGAGAATTTAGGTTTTTATTTCTAGTTCAACATTTAATAGGGAGCATAATTTACTGGCAAGTATATTTCCAAAGAACTCCTGAAATGACTGATTTTCGGAAGGCAGGGGAAGGCTTACTGGTAGGGAGTTACTTAGTGTATTGGAGAAGAAAAAACTCATGGTTTTTGCACCATTGTAAATATTAGAATGGGTAAAATGCTTATAAGGTCATTGTGATGTGACACAAATGCAGCCTAATATTTGATAATAATACTTGAATTATGAATCGAGTCTGCAGTTCTTGAAATGCAAATTTTTATCTTTATTTTCTGTAGCTGATGGAGCAGTTGACAGTGGCCAAGGGTCATCTGTTTATACTGAATCATGTGTGAGCAGTCAACAGACTGTGTCGTATGGTTCCCAGCATGACCAGCCAATCTCAACAGCTGCAGTCCAGGGGTATGCAGCTTCAGTTGGCCAAGTGCAGTCACAGCAGCATGGAGGATATCAGCCACCTACAGTGGTAAGCCAGAACTTAAAAGTATTGCAAATGCATGGAATTATTTAGTTGTGAGGGTTTTTTTTTTGTTGTTTTCTTTTTGTTTTCTTTTTTTTGAAGGTGAGAAGAAAGTCTGCTAGGCATTCTTTCATGTATGCTTTCCATGCAATACAAATTCTGCATGGGATCATTAAAATTCCTATTTTTGCAAGGTGATTGAATCTAGTTCAATAAAACAAAAGGAAATATTTTTCTTTAAAATAAAGTTTTTATTAAATCACTTAAGCACTTTTATTAAGTCACACTTAAGCAGAATGACAGGTTGGGATTTGTAATGGATGTAACATCCTCAGTACGAGACTATCTCATGAAAATGAGCGTTTCATCTCACTTGGGAAGGTGTTTTGTATATATGTGAAGTTATCAAATATTTAGCTATTGCTTTGAATTGAAGAAAGGATTAGAATAATTTAAGCTGCTGTTTTGAAATATGAAATTGCTATATATGTTCTGTGAGGCTTTGATTTACAGATTCTGCAGGTAAGTTCTTTTTAACTGTTATAGAATGCTGCATGTGAGTACTCCAGACTGAGAGGACCCCACATCCTTGTTCCCAATATTATTTCTAGCTTGTGTTGATTTGCTCATCAGTTGCCATGCGTATTCCTTGTCCCTGGAAAGTCTGCACTGGGCACAAATACTTCTCCTACTATGTTCATTTGTGTGGCCCTTTTATTTTGGTACGTTCTTCCCTTGGTATGTTTTAGATCAGAGTACAAGAACATTCAGAAGTCTATTCCAGCACTGGAGTAAAACTTCTGCTACTCAGTGATTCCCTTGTCGTTTTGTTTTTGTTTTTTTAAACAAAAATCTAGACCTAAAGCAGAGATATCTTATAGCATGGTAACGCCATACAGGAAGATAATGTGACAGTCAGGACTTAAGAGTCCTCACTTTTTTGCTGCCTGTGCTTGTAGACTTGATTACAAAATCAGTGTTCCTAGATTTTTGGAAAACATGCTGGTTTCAGTCATAACCTGTAGTTTTGTGGTACTGCTAATCCTTGGGCAAATAAGTTAATGCTCTGGTTAAGCCATACTTTGATGTGTGAGTATGTCTTGGACTAGAAGCCATTTACTGCCTTGGGATGGCTAGTTTCCAGGTTGAAAGACCATAACCTTTTGAGAGAGGTTGGGAAAACAAACACACTACAAATGTGTAGTCAAGCTGCTCAGTTAAATCCTAATATGTGCTCATGCTCTGATGACAACAGCGGTACCAGAAGGTTAACAGAATGGAGTAGAACACTACAAGAACTACTAAGAGTTTGTTGCGAAGACAGCATGACAAGTCAAAATGAAATTGACAACTGGAGAAATAACCTTTAAAAGAAGTAGAATGCAGTTCTATCAGGATGAGAGCAAGTTTCGTGCCTAAGCAGAAAAAATCAGCTACACAAGTACAGGATGAGCAACATTGACTAGGCAGCAATTCCACCACTAAAAGAAAGAGTCAGGGATTATATTGGACTGCAACCTGGACATGGTCAAAAACATCATGCTGTTGTGAAAAAGGCGAACATCATGTTATGTGAAGTAGTTCTGCTCTTCTTGGCCGTTGTTAGGTCTATTCTGGACACTGCCTGATGAAGGAAGTTGAGAGTGAATGGGGAGAGAAGTCAGAGGAGAGTGACCAAAAACACCAAGAATACAGGAAACATGCTTTTGTGGGAAGACTGTAAGAGCTAAGTCTGTGGAAGATGAGCTTGAGGATAGAGAAAGCTGTAAAGGCCACCATAAAATACATAGAGGCTAATCGGATCACAACATTGTTGTCAGATATAACAAAAATAATAAGCTTAAATTGCAGCAAGGAATTCTTGTTTAGAAAAGGATTTTTTTCTAACCAGAAAGGACAGATGTGTACTGTAGACTCCATCACTGGAGCTGTTTCTGAACAGGCTACATAAACTTGTCAGGAATGACATGTATAACCAGTCCTGACTTGGACCAAGTGAAGAATAAGGGTAACCCTTTGAGGTTCCTGATGTCTCTCCTCCAAAATACTGAGAAGTCTATCAAGATTTCTCATATCAGAAATACTTTAAATTAGATCTCTACTAGATACCTTGACTTTATTTTTTTCTCAGTTATGTATTTGATTTTAATTATCTTTAGAAATTATATCCAAAAGAGGGGCTGCCTATCTAAAACATAATTTTCCCAATCATTCTAAAAAAAAAACCCAAAAAAAAAAAAAAAAAAAAGAACCAGACAGAAAGATCATTCTGATTCTGTCAGTTGGGTTGAATTTTGATCTATGGCCTTCTGTCTTGAGGCAAGATTACAAAATCCTTGACACTTTTATTGGCCTATTGTCTGGAAAATGCTTGTCTAAGATTAACTAAACTTTCCATGTATTCAAACAGCTTTTTCCACAACTCTTTTGTAGACTGTGTAATGCTAAAATTTTTTAGGTAATATTTTAGTTAATAAAGAACCAGCTGAAAACTTTAAGTTCACTTGATTCAGGGAGTTGCCTAAGCAGAGAGACTGGTGAGGCGATAGGTGTAAGTGCACATGCACTCACTAAACTAAGAATGAATGAAAGGCCATCAAGAACTTAAGGTTTTTTTATTGTCACATTATGAAGTGCAGCGAATACACATCCTGTGGGCCACATTGGTGGCTTCAAGGAAAATATTCTTTCTTATCTGTTCTGCCTTCCACATGCTTCTTATAAGGGCACTAGGGAACTTCCCTTACTGTTCAGTAACCTAAAGCAAACTTAAATCCTCAGAGGTGTACACATCCTGTTCTTGGTGTATGTCAACATTCATTCAGCATTCTCATATCTTCTTGCACACATAGTAGTCAGTATTGGGCCTATCATTGTGTGTCTGCATTTCTTTTCTATCATTACTATTTTTGCTCGTTTTGTTTTTAATTTTTTTGAAGTGTTCAATTTTTAACTTTTGTTTTCCTCCTTTAGCCTCAACGTGGTCGTAGCATGTCAGTTTGTGTTCCCCACCTTCCTGCTCTTCCCTCTATGTCCTGCATCCCTCTCAGTGCTCCTTGCACCCCACCACCAGCGCTGTCTGCACCTCTCTCTCCTTTCTACCTTCGGACTGTCCCTGAAGAAACCTTTGCAGAAAAGCTTTCTAAAGCCTTGGAAAGTGTCCTGCCCATGCACTCTGCCTCTCCACGCAAGCATCGACGCTCCAGCCTGCCCTCCCTCTCTGTCAGTCCTGTATGTGTTACCATTTGCCTCCCAGCACAGTAAGATAAGTTATCATTAAATACATCCTGGGCTTCAGGCATTTAAAAATTGAGAAGAGGAAAAGATGATTCTTCATCATTTCTGGGCTGCTAGCTTGTTTTTTTTTCCTGTTATTGTTTATTGAAAAGACGTACACTTAAAAACATGATAATTGTTTGACCATGTATTTTGTATTTTAGGAAAGTATAAATGAAAATTATTCAGCATAATTCATAAATGAAAATATACCACAGAAGTTAAAGGGAAGACTAGTTCTTTTCCCCCGAAGTCAGAACACTGTTTTTCATTTTCCAACTTCCAAGCATTGAATGTTAATTAAGCCCTGCACAAAACAGCTAGCTTTTAAAGCTTAGTTGTTGTGGCTGATTTTCCAGAAGCTTTGGCATGCTATGATAGTGATAGTAGAAATTCAGAGTATGAATACTTTTGAGGAGTCTTACATTTTAATCGTGGTTGCCACTTTAGCTGCTGCTTGGTGGAAAGAAGCCATATTTTCATCTGTTTCGAAAGGTCAGATGCATGACAGCTTGCAAGATAGGAGGTAGCCTGTTTACAGTTTTTGGCTTTTATTTATGTAAAATAAGCCTTGAGAAACTTTAATTTGTAATTGAAGTATATAGAACTAACTTTCAGTAGGAAGAGTTCTTCAGGAGTACTGGAGTGGGACCTTCTTCTTACTATTGGTCAATATGGAAATTTGCTGCTGCTTTTCCGGAAGAAGGGATAGGAAAGAAATGGAACAATGTGCAAAAGGCAATTTGAAAAAGTTGAAAGTAGCTCTTGTCTTCAAGACAGTATGTTTGCTGCTGACTCTTACAATTTTTCCTTTAGTGTCAGCAGTACTTTCTTTCAGTGTACTGTAGACCGAGATGAAAAAGATGCAGCATTGCTGAATTGTTTAGTATTCTTATGTAGAAATCTTGTCAGTGAAATTTTCCCTAGAAATCTTAATAAAGATGAGCCTAATCTGTAGTAATGCATCATAAACAGTGGAATCACTTGAGGTCTTTGTTGACAAACCTGTGAACGTACTGTTGTCCAGGAAAAAAAGTGGATTTGTTTCAGTGACTGCTAATTTCTTATGTGAAAAGCGTATGATGCAAATGGATCAAAATGATCAAAAGGGATGACTGAATTTGATGAAATCTGAAGACACTGCATTTTTATCAGATTTCTTTTCATTATTTTTTCATGTGTAGGCTGGTGTGGTTCAGTCTTGTCTTGTAAAGCATTTTTGTTTAGCTCGCTGGATACCATGCAGAGCACCCTCCTGACAGGACACCAGCATTGTGTTTTTTACATTAGATAGTATTAAGTTTTCGTACCGTTTTAATCTTCCAGATGTGAATTAGAGTCCCTGTGTTGTTATTGCTATCAAGTTCTGAATTTTTATATGCCCATATGGCAGTAATGTCCGGAGTTAGATTGGATTTCAAGCAATGACCGCAGTGAATAGCCCATGACAATGAATTGCATTCCATTGTCAGGAGCAAAACCGATATTCACATTTACTGAGTGGTTGGAGTTGGACTGGAAAAGCAGCTTTAACACAAGCAAATGCTTCCATTTGTAGACATGCCTGCCACGGATGTATTTAATGGATATTTACAACTCATCTAATTTTCCTAAGTATTGTATGTTTTTGACCATGAATTGAGTAGTCATTCTATAAAGTTACTTCACAGAACTGCCTAGTGAACTGTGCATGTTAATGTGCTTTCACTTTTAATGTATGAATTACTTGTCTTGTTCATGTCAATACAGCCTCAGCATCCGCGTGGGGGAACACCAACGTTCCCAGATTCACAGATATTTTTCCCAACCGTTCATGAACGGCCGGTGTCTTTCTCACCACCACCTGTCTGCCCGCCGAAGGTGGCAGTTGCTCAGCGCCGCAAGAGCACTTCATTTTTGGAAGCCCAAACTTGCCACTTCCAGCCATTGCTGAAGACTGGCCAGAGTTTAGTTCCACCTGGTGGTAGTCCCACCAATTGGACACCAGAGGCATTGGTTATGCTGGGCACGACATCTCATAGAGTCGCTGGAGAGCCTCTGCATGTGCAAGTTAACCCTGTGTTTGAGCCAGCTCCTGTACACAGTGACTATAGATCTGGACCAACACCTCCAGAGGATGCTCACTACAGAATGCATCCAGAAGCTGTATATTTGGTGGGCATGCACTATCCGTCACAGGTATCGGAGCAGTATGATCAAGTAGCTTATAACTCACACGTGACTGAACAACATTTGAAGCAGGTTTCTGATTCAAAGCATGTGCAAGGTGGTCCTCCACAAAGCTCTGTGTTTGACTATCAATCGGGGCAAGCGTTCCTGGCAAGACATGTTCAGAACTTGAGGCTGGATGCTGGGTTGAGTCCTCTTTCTCCATTGTCCAGTGTTTCAGCTCCTCTGAGTGCAGATCCTGCTCAGATGACGTTCCATCAGGTATTTGTTCCTCATTCTGCCCCAGCTGTGCTCTCTCACAGCGGTGATGGCAGAACAAGCTGTGTTTTTGAGTTCCATGTGCACACACCGAGTTCTGCTCCAGCAGAAGGGGCGGCTTTACCCCAGCGGGTCTACAGAAGTCGCCGGGGCTCAATGGAGACCAGTCAAGAGGAATCCACTCAAGGCATAGGGTTGCATGGTCGGCTTCAGCCCGTGACAGAGGAACATTATAACTATCTTGGTCCTGATTTAGCAGGTCACAGAGGGGGTTCTGCCAGTCGGAGCTGGCCAGAAGGAAGCCCAGAATACTCCAGTGATTCCTCACAGCTGACTTCCTCTGACACTGGCGATTTCCAGTCTCCTCCCCCTACAGGGGGGCCATCTGCTTTTGGTTCAGACTTCTCATTGCCCATTGTTCAGCTGCCTCAGAAGGTATTGCAAGAGTCGCAGCTCTTCATCTGCTTCCCACAGGGAGCCTCAACTCAGCAGGCCTTGTCCACCTCGCTTTCATCAGGACCACCTGCACACTATCCTCAGGTTACAGGAGAAAACCCTTCCAGAATTTCTCTACTTTTTATAAATCATACTTTGCACTTAAAGAGGAGCCTTGCTCTTATTTAGAACCACATGGAGCAAGTATCTTAGCATTCATGGGGGTGTCTTTACATTAAGTCAGTGTTCTACTAGGATCTCTTTAAGTTAACAGGTTACAATTAAAGGATGAGGCATCAGCAACCCCTCAGTCTGTGTTCAGCTTTGGGTGATGTGTTGGTATGGCTTCTGTGTTAAGAATAACAAAAGGTCAGTGTTGTTTTGGATCAGATACTGTTTTGGAAAGAGATAGCTGAAGTACCAAATTGGCTTCTCAACAATGGGTTTAATGAAATGCATCTTCCATGCAGTCTGTATTGGTAGTCATACTAAAACTTGCTTTGTACTTCTATTCCTGTTCCTCAGCTGTTTGATGAGAATGTTATTTGAAGTTGAATATTTGTATTGAATAATGTTTCATTGGACAACAGGTTAACTCGGTGGCTCTTGAAAGCTGAAAGATTTTTCTAGGCTTAGGGGAAGGAAGTGGGAAGAGAGGAATGAAGGGCAGTATACATACACGTAAATGGGTTTGGTGCCCTTGCAGAATTATCAAAGAAACTGAGCAAACTGAGTAGTTAACTAGTGGCACAAATGGTTCTTAATATAGGCTTTAGTTCCTTATAAGCCTAGAATGTGGTGTCTTTTAAAAAGCGAAATCTGAGGCATGAAGTTTAGCTGGAGATATGTTCTGTTGATGTTTGGTAAATGCCACTGCAATTTTCATTCTAGTATCCTTCAGTAATGCGTTTGTACACCATGAATGTGAGGTGCACATGTATATTGTATCTGTGCCTGTATTCTGAAACACATGAGAAGATGGTTTTCTTTTTTTTTTTTTTTTTTGGTGAAAAGAGAGGCTTTTCAACAAAACAACAAAGTAAACATCTCTTACTCCTTCACTCTTTCTGGTTTTGAAATTAAGGATTCTAATACTCTGGCTATTAAGCTATAAGCAACATTGTTATTCCTCTAGAAGAAAGAGAGCCTTTTTTTGCTTTATTGTGGTAAGATCAAGAATTAAATACTTAAATCTTTCCATATAGGATCTGTTGGTTTTGGCTTTTCTAAACTGAAACAACTTAATCACTGATGCAATAAATAGTGATTTCAGTTGTTTAGGAGAACTTGTGGAGTGAAACTGCCGTGCAGGAAGTTTGAAAGTTACTTGGAGATTGTTTCCCCATAAACATCTTTTGCTAAACTTCAGGTGATTTGTGATGGGTGAAAATGACATCTGGAAATCATAAGAAGGGATTCAGATTATTTTTACAGAATGTAAGTTCTAGAAGCTGTTATCTAATTCATTGGAAGATCAGAATGTGAAGTCTCAAACTGGATCAATACGAAGAGAGATTATTTCAATGGACGCATTTGTATTTTAATAAGGGCCTCAACGCTTCTAAAACAACAAAGAAAAAAATGGTTCTTTTCATTGACAGTGTTCTTTCCTTAAAAGAGTACATTTTAGATAAAAATTTTTCCTAATAAGCTTCTGCAAGCAGAATATGCAAACCATTTAGAAATTTTAGTAGGTATTCCTGATATGATACCTGTGCACCAGATGTTTCTTATAAAGGCAGTTAGTTTACAGGTGGTGCATACTCAGGGAGCTTAGTGGAGATCTTTGTCCAGCTGTCTCCAAGATCTAACCAAAGAATGTTGGTCACAAAAACAGTGGTGAAAATCCATTCCGCTTTCCTTTACATCTTTCACATTCATTTGTATGCCACTCATCCATTTTTTTTTGTTGCTTAGTCATTTAGATTTCTGTCTTAGCTAGAACATGGCCCCAGATTCTTCTGTATCTATCCTTGGCTGATAGCTGGAAATGATTTTTAATTTGGATTTTGATAAGCCTCTCTAAAGAAACAGTTTACGTGTACATGTATTGAGTGTTTTGTTATTGGTATGTATATTTTTGATCTTTATAATCAGCTTTATTTTTTTCTAGCTTATTTTATCCTCTTCACTTAACTGTGTTCAGAACACTTGTGAAGGTAAATTTTAATGCCTGTATTTCCAGTTACCATACATACCAAGGCATCCTGTTCCTAACGCATCATCAGTAGAGGAAGAAGCTGGTAGGCTGATCTGTCTCATTTTGAGGGGCATTGGGGATGCAAAAACTTTGCTTTCTTCAAAGACTTAAAATGGATATTGGTGCTTTTCCAGCTTGCACTACTTCATTCTGGCTTATGTAGTAGAATTTGGCCAAACAAACCGCTAGTCTAAAAAGAACAGCTAGAAACTATTACAAACAGATCATTCCAGGCAGAAATAATTTCAACTGCCTGCTGCAGAGCCATGTGGTTTTTTATTTTTCTTTTAAAGCTGACCCTTGGTCTTTTTTTCCTTATAGACACAAGTACAAGGCCAGTCAGCTTCAAGTAGTACATCGGTACCGTCTCAGCCTGCTCAACACACTCAGCAGGTATGGTCATTTTCTAAACTTGGGAGTAAATTATTTTCAACAGAGAAATTTGATGACTTCTTAAAGAGCAATTACCTTTCCCTGTCCACTCTTCAATCCATAGTTTTGGATAAAAGAGGAATCCTCTGGTTCTCTCCTAGTCTAACATGCTATGAGATTAACTTTTTGAAATTTATTTTTAGGATCATGTTAATGCTGCTTCTAATGTGACCGTCTTCCTAGCCCCCACCTAACTTTGCATTGGAGGTGCCATTCAAGGAAAGACATGCCAGGATTTGAGAGTTAGATTGTCTAGACAGGCAGACCCTGTTCTGATGAGTTCTTCCAACTTGAAATAGTATCTTCTGCAGCGTCCTCTTCTCTTAATTGCCTGTAGTCCCTGTATTCTTGTTCTCACTGTTGAAACTAAAATCCTGTTGCAATACTTGGTGCTGACAGTGGAGTTGTGTTAGTAATACTAACTAAAAAGTAGTTACTAAAGATTAATTCACTCAGTATGTTCAGAAGATCCACTGATATCACTTAGGAGGGAATAAAAGTTGAAACTTAAATAGATAGGCTTTTAAAACTAAATAGCTTCTGCATCTTTTCCCTACTGTAGAATGCCCAGCAGCCAGCCTCTTCTCAACAACCTGGACAATACCAGCTGCAGCAGCCATCAGTTTCTACTGGTGCCACTCCTACACAAACTGTCTCTCAAACTCAGACTTCACAGGTTATGCCAATGCCTCAGGCAGCAGCAGGGACACAGGTAAGCAATATTTTTCTTATCAGTACAAGATCCTTCACACCTGGCAAATTCAATATGCTGCTACTTTCACTTTTGTCATCTTTTCTAATGGTTCCAAAACATTCATCCAGATAGTAGTATTCTCGGGATACTGTAACTGTCAATTTTGCTGGAAAATATGTATTGGAAACACTTTCTTTCACACATGGCAGTCATGAGTAATTTGTTTGAGGAAAGGATAGCACTTCCATTCTCTAAGGTCTTTAAACAGTCGAAGTATCATTCAGCATATTGATGAATGGATTACTATGTATGCATTTTCAGGAACTTGTCATTTCTCTGCTTCCCATAGAATGTACATCTTCTGCACCATTGTGTGTAAAACACATGTTCACATATTTAGGTAGTGAACCATAAGGACTGCCTTTTCCACTCTTGTCATCTCTCTTACTCAGCTCTTCTCCTTTACTGCCTGATCAAGAAGCTTCTGTTACTGAGTACTACTTCATTTTGGCTCATATCTCTATCTTGAACATGTGAGCCTTGTTTTTGTTTTTAAAATTGTTTTGTTGCTTGTTCATCTTAACTGTCTCTCCAGTTGCATCATTTGCTGGCTTTAATTGACATATCCCCTGCCATTCTCTGAATGCTGGCACAGTGGCTTTTCATTCTCCATTCCTTAGTCCCCATACCCAAAGCTGACAGATTTGTGGAAACATTTGCACTTCTTTCCTGTAAGAAGGCAGGCTTGGCTCTGGGGACAGAATTGAGGGGAATTGGATTCTGTTTTTGTTCAAGTCAGTGCCTTAGGGTATTCTAATGTTGCTCTTTCACCCTCCGTGGGGGTCTATTTCAAGAGCTTGTGAAGTTCTTCAAGGGAAGTGTTGCGAAGTGAGGACCTTTTGGAACTCCAGCCAACTTCCCAGCCACTCTGCCAACTGTGCTCCCCACCCACTTTAACAGAGTGCTATAACTTGAATAATTCTTTCTTTGACTAATGCATAAAAATTCTGCTTTCTGCAACCCTGCTTAAAAACCGAAAAATCTATCTCTATTTTCTTTACCTCCCCAGCTTCCTGTTTCCCAACCAGTGTCGATCATCCAAGGCGAACCTCAATTACCTGTTGCAGCACCTTCTCTCACTCAACCTTCAGTTGTCCCATCAGTCCCTATTGGTTCTCACTTTCTGCCCGTGGGACAACCCTTGCCAACTTCCATTGTCCCCCAGTTCTCAGTCTCTCAGTTGCCCGTCGCAGCTCCTCATGTGTCAGTGGCTCAGCCAGGTTTCCAGTCACTGCCAATTTCAATGGCAGGCGGCATGAATCAGCCATTGCTCACGCTGGCAACATCTGCTGCGGCATCCGCTGTCCCTGTAGGATCAACTGTTGTCCCTAGCCAGCTTCCCACGCTGATGCAGCCTGTGGCTCAGTTGCCCAGCCAGGTTCTCCCGCAGCTCCTGCAGCCGGCTGTCCAGTCCATGGGATTGCCAGTCAGCATTGGACAAGCTGCTGATGCTTCACTTCCTGCTGGAGATGCTCTTTACCAGGTATTGTTGCAAGCCAGCAGAGCTCTTCCCCTCCGACTTTCACCTCTTCCTCTAAGGTACCAGCTCAGAACTGTGTGCCTGGGCCAACTCATTTCTCATAAGAGAGCCACTAGGCCATGGAGATGAATTTTGTTTTGTGGTAAAAGTCCTTTTTAAGGAGGGAGGAGAAAAAGTGCCCTCCAGTCACCCTGTGATTTTTTTTTTCCTCATTTGGCAGTGGAGTTTGTCTAAAATGACAAGTGTAGTGCAGGACTTTGGTCACCTGCTGTGTAAAGGAGGATAGCTATATATCCAAGAGATCTGCCAACTTGAATTAAATTTAAAAAAGAAAAAGTCCCAAAACATTGTGATTTAAAAACTCATACCGGTTTTGTTTGGGAAAGATAATCTGTGGCAGCATATTCAGCAATGTCAGTATTTCGTTCCAAGTTGGGGAAGGGAAGTGGGGAGGTGTGGACTTTGATTTTCTGGAAATAAATCGGGCAACAAGGATCTTGAACAAGAAGTAAGTATCTGATGCAAGTTATGAAACACTAGACTGATCGGCAAGGACTACTTTGGCTACTTTGTGCAATCACTGTCATGGCAATATGAGTAGTGACAAAAATAGTGACTTAGCATATAGTTGTTCTTCTAAAGTAAAGTCACTGAGACAATGTAGAGTGCTGCAAAATAGAAACTATGTAGGAATTCATGCTTCTTGGTTCCCGGGTCAGTTCATCGTGAGAGGACAGGAGAAACGCAAGGTATTTACTCGTCTTGAGAATCAGCAACAGATGTATAATATGTTCTGAGCAGTTCAGCATAAAAATCCTTCAAGCTCATTTCAAGCCACAGGTCTTAAAACATTAAGTCCAGTAGGCAACTGGGGAGAGTTGGGAGGTGAAAATTGTTCTGCCTAAGGCTTGAAATTTTGAGTGGGAATTTGCTTGTTGAAGCATAGTGACTTGCAAGCTGAGCTTTGGCTTCTTAATCAGTAACTATTCTGTGTGAAGATGGTATTCGGAAGAACTTGTATAAGTACAGAAGGGAAAGGAAAGCAGTTAGAAGTTGCCCCTGAAACGGATATACATATATTTTTTTTTTGTTTGTTTTCTTATCAGCTCTGGCATTCACTAACTTGACTCCCTCATTTCTGTTACAGGGCTTCCCATCTCGGCTGCCGCCTCAGTACCCAGGGGACTCAAGTGTTGCACCTTCCTCTGCTGTGGCTTCTGTTAGCATTCCTTCTGCCATACTGTCCCCTCCCTTACCCACAGATGTAATGACTCAGCCAGGCTATATTGCTCCTGTTGTGCAGCCGTACGTGGAGCAGAACGTTTTAGTTCCTATGGGCAGCGTAGGAGGACAGGTTCAAGTGCCCCAGCCTACAGTGAGTTTAGCACAACAGGCCTCATCAGCCTCCTCGCAGCAGGCAGTTGTGGAGGTAACTATGTTGAACATAACAACGCATTTAGAGTCTTAAATTACACAACAGTGAATGTGTGTGGGGAACTAATCCCTTCCATGCTTATCTTCAGATGGAAATTAATGTTTCAAATAACCTTTTTCTTACAGCAGAATGTCATGCCAATGTGGGGACCTTGTTGCCACTGGCTGTTCTGTTGGGAAGTGAGTGTACCTCTTACAGGCAAAAAACCTGTTAACACTTCACTTCTTGCTAGTACTGTAGAATATTTTGCCATATCAATGAAAAACTGCTACCGATAGCCTTTGAGATTCTCTCATTTTGCCCATTCCCTGTAGCACTGATGTTGCTAGGGAGAATTTGAATTGTCTTTGTGTTCTGCATTGGCTTGCCTTTTGCACATTCTGTTAGTAAGACTGTGGCTGCATGGCAAATTGTAGCAATATGCATCTGTAGAAGGATGGCTTATTTTCTGCCCCACCCCTCCTCAGGATGATAATTTGCTTCACTGCAGTTTGCTTTTGAGCCTTATAAATTAAAGCTCTCTAGATGCCAGCTAGCTGTTCAAAGTTCTAAAAAAGTAGTGCTTTTAGCTTTAAAACTGATTTGAGTGCAATGATTGAAGACTAATGGGTGATTTCAAAACGAATGGAGTTATTTAGAGTTCTTGATGTAGGTTTCTATCTATAGGGTACTCAAGGAGCCTCACAGACTGCTCCTTCAGAGTCTCTGCCATCAACACAGCCTGCTCAGTCTACCCCTTTGGCTTCCTCTATGGATAGGTAAGCATGGTTTTCTTCTCACCAATTTACCAATCTGAATTTTAATTTCATGCAATAGACATAAAACTATTAGAGAGTGTTCAGAGGAGTGCTGTGAAAATGGAGATGGGTCCAGAGGGGAAGACATGTGAGGATCAGCGGAGGTCCCTTGGTTTTCTCAGCCGGGAGAAGAAGAGACTCATGGTGGCTGCAGCTCCTCACAGGGAGTGGAGGGGCAGTGCTGAGCTCTGCCCTCTGATGACAGGAATAGGACCCAAGGGAACGGCAGGGAGCTGTGTCAGGGGAGGGGCAGGCTGGGTGTTAGGAAAAGGTTCTTTACTAGAGGGCGGTGGGCATGGAACAGAATGCCCAGGGCAGTGGACACGGCCCCAAGTGCTGGAGTTCAAGAAGCATTTGGATGCTGCTCTCAGACGTAGGGTTTGGAATGTGGGTGATGCTCTGTGGAGCCAGGATTCAATGATCCTGATGGGTCTCTTCCAACGCAGAATGTTCTGTGTTTATCATTTGACAGAATTCTTCTCCCCTACTCTGTGATTAACAAACATCCACTCCTGTTCTGAAGAGAATGGTATCGGTAGGGTAAACCATACTGTTGCAGATATAGAATGCATGAATACTAATATAAAGTTTTGTTTTCATTTTTAGTGCACATTCTGATGTTGCTTCAGGAATGAGTGATGGCAATGAGAATGTTCCAGCTTCTAGTGGGAGACATGAAGGGAGGACTACCAAGCGTCATATGCGGAGGTCTGTCCGCAGTCGCTCTCGCCATGAGAAGACTGCTAGGCCAAAACTGAGAATTCTAAATGTGAGTGGTTTTGTTTTGTTTTAATTTTAAGTGACTGTTTAATGCTGTTGCCACTTTGAGCATGCAGTCTGTCCACTGTATTTCTTCTTCTTCTAGTGTTACTGTTCCAGAAGTCATAGTTAAGAGTTTTTCAGAACATTTCAGTTGGCAAAATTATCTTGCTTGGCCTCTAGTGATTCCTATTCATACTATTTCTGAATGTTTGCTTTAATCTTATTAGTAAAGCTAAGCTAGTGACATAGAAGTTAGAAAGGAACAAGGGAGCATTTGGAGCCCTACAGAAAGGTGAGGGCAAAGTAAGCTTGGTCATATGAGCAATTGGCAAATCCTCAGAAAGTGTTGCTGTACTGTTTATTAGTTTAGAAAAAGAGAATGTGTTTGTCTTAGAGCAGTACCGTTGGTTTTTCTCTGTGGACTTTGAAGTACAAACATTACATTTTTATGCTTTTAATTTGAACTATTATTTTCTTTGCTTTAGGTTTCAAATAAAGGTGACCGGGTAGTGGAATGCCAGCTAGAGACACACAATCGGAAAATGGTTACTTTCAAATTTGATTTGGATGGTGACAACCCTGAGGAAATAGCTTCAATTATGGTAAGATGGTTTTCAGAGATGGAAAATTGAATCCGGTCTTAATCACAGTAGTAATATAAGTAGTCTTATTTTCTCGCTTGCTTTCTTCTGTGTAGCATGGCCTGTCTCCTCTTTTTCTGCACTCACTTAATAGGTACGTAAGCACAGCTAGAGACTGTCTGCACAGAGTATTATACAAAATTGACACCTAATATTACATGCTCAGTTCACAGGGAACACCGGAGTCAATTTTTTATCCTAAAATTTCTTTTTTTATCAGGTTTATCTACTTTTGTTTTTTCACAGTCTATATTTTGGAAAAACTGCAGACAACTTTCTGAATGCACCAACTTAAATAGTTTGCTTTTTTTTTTTTATTAAGGCCAAAACATTAAGTCTTTACAATTTGCTTAAGCATTGAGATTTTGCTGCTGTTCTCAACTGAAACAGCAAGATTTCCTCTTGAGGGAACTTCTTTCTGATTTCTGGAGATCAGTAATGACTGCTGCTTTTGACTAAACTGGTCAGTGCATCTCAAAGGAAAACGAACAAAGCAACCTCTCCATTCAACAGATAATGGTTAAGAAACAGAAGAGAACTTGTCATATATAGATATGTTTAAATGCAAGTACCATGAAATGGGGAATAGAACCTTCCACCACTTTTTTTTTTTAATTTAATTTAAAATTATATTCCCAAGCTGGTACAATCTGAGCGAAAATGAGATCACTTTGCTGTTGCTGAAGTGGGGTGCAGAGTGGGTTGGAAGTTCGTCCTGACACAAAGCAGTATCTTACCCCCAACCTCTTAGGCACCTGTGTGGTAGTATTTATCTTTTCACTTGGAGAGACAGCAGAATAATAGGGGTGTGCTGGATTCATACTTTTTCAGAAATAACCAAATTAGTAACACAGGAAGACTTTTTCACAGAAGAAGAATTTGGTTCTTGCCTATGTACATGTATTGTCAGATGTCAATTAAATGAAGTGTCTAGAAATACACAGAAAATACAGATCTTACATTTCCTCATATGTAAATTGATCCTATGATATATAGGTATATTTGATATATAGGTATATTTGATATATAGGTATATTTGATATATAGGTATATTTGATAAAAGAACAGATGGTTGATGAGGAGTGCAAACGAAATAAGTGATCTGTGCTTTCAGAGTGCAAGCAAATAGTTTAAAGTATGCGACCAAACCTAGACAACTTAATCTAGAACTTTATGCCCATCAGGAGACATAATTTTCTGCTGAGTTAGGCTGACAAACTAAGAACTGTTGTATAAGTACTGAGTGTATTTGTTTAAGCTTATTTATTCCAATGTAAACAGCAGGATGTATTTTTATAAAGCAATACAGTATATTGAAACTAGATAGGCTGAACACGCTTTGTCTTACCAGCTGGGGAACATAATGCTTGTGTTTATGTACTGCAGCAGCCAGACTTCTGGAACCTAGTGATGTACAGCCTCCATAGAGTAGAAGTTCAGTATGACGTAGAAATAGAGTAGCGCAGAACTTATCTTGCAATATAAAATTTTCAATTTTTTTTACATTTCCATCTTTCTTTAAATATGATAGTAAATGAAGTTGCAAATTTTGAGTTTCACTGGAAAAGTCTGAAATATTAATCTGATGAAAGTGATACAGAATGTTGTCCCACTGCAAAGAGCAAAGTAGAACAAATATTTCAGTGCTGGAGATAATTTCAGAAGCAAATGTTTTTTCTCCAGGATGTCATGAGCTTTATCTTATGCATAAGAACAGTTGGAAGGAGGACAAACACAAACATGTTATATTATGGCTAGTCAGTATGCAATACATAGTTTTGAAATACTTTGTAATAATTAAAGATCTTGCTGCTCTGTTCTCTTCGCAGGTGCAGAATGAGTTTATTTTAGCAACTGAGAGAGACTCATTTGTGGAACAGGTACGAGAGATCATTGAGAAAGCAGATGAAATGCTGAGTGAGGATGTAAGTGTGGAGCCAGAAGGTGATCAGGGTTTGGAGAGTATGCAGACAAAAGACGATGGCTTCATTCCAGGGTCACAGGTATGTAGAAGACAAATGGCCTTAGTTAATCATATTTTCAGTTTTGGGTGGTGTGGTTTTGCGTAGTGCTAGCAAGAAACTGAAACCTTCTTTCATGAGAATATCAAAGCTTAAAAATAAAATTAACAGCCAGAGCTTCAGATCAGGATGAAAGCAAAAAATTCATTTAGAAAACTAAATAACTTAAGCCATTTCTTTTTGTCATGTTCTGACACTTTTAAAGCTGCTGAATCTCCTAATAGAGCACTAGGCAGATAGTCTTAAATGCTGGGGCTTCTTGCATTTGAAGTTGTGAGGCAGGATGCTAAAATCCCTAATCCTTTGTCACTCACTAAACCCCAAGAGACTGGACTCCAGGCCCTCTACTCAGTGAGCTACTAGAATTGGATGCATAAGTTAGAAAACAAAGGTTTTCAAGCTGGTTGCTGGGAATCATAAGGGGTGACATTTCCAGAATCTCTGCCTTATTTCTACCAAAAGCTACTTCAAAACATCCCGTCATCCATTTACTTATCTGTGGGATATTTAAGGAAATGGGCTGGAGTGTTTATTAAGAAAAAGACGCTTAGATCTGTTTGTTGCACTGCTGGTCACTGAACTGACAATCTATAAAACATTGTAGCTGACAGTTGCCTAGGCAGAATTTCACTGCTTTGATAATGGTGCTTGAGTCCATGGCACTGCTTAACTTAAATGCCCACATTTCAGTAAGCTAGCGTTTTAATAACTATCGTGTGGGTTTCTGTTTCAGAATAGAACTTTAAATTTTATCTTACTTTACAGAAATTAGAGTTCAAACAGCCAGATCCTACATCTTCCATGCCACAAAGAATAGGTAAGTCTTTTGTGATTTTGTTTTTTCAACAGTTACCTTTTTCGATTTCAGCGGATGGGTGCTGCCAGGTTTTTATTTTATATGATGGAGTTCACATTCCGTATTGCAGGTTATGTATTTTGTTGCAGCTACGTATCACTAAATATCCAACTTCTTTCTGTTTAGGGGTTCCTCCTAGCTCCTTTACCCAGGTTGTCCATTCTGCGGGAAGACGGTTTATTGTCAGCCCTGTCCCTGAAAGTCGGTTAAAAGAGCAGGGCTTTTTCACCTCTCCTATTCCTGGAGGAAAAGAAACTTCAGATGTGGGTAAGTTACCTAAACTCTTAAATTCTGAAGGCTATGAAATGTTAGTCAAAACTGAAGTTAGTTTACCAGACTGACAAGCTCCTAAGCACCCCCTAAGTATCTGGAAGTAGGGAAATGACTGAGCTGATAAGAAGTGATGATAATCTGGCTGATACTGTGTAGAATTCTTGCAGGAAAAAATGTTGATGGCCTGTCTGCAAAACTCTTGAAATCTTAATTCCATATTTTCAATGTGTGCCTGGATTTATCTTTTCTTTTTTATTATGCTGGGAAGAAACTTCGTCTAAGTCTATCAATGGGAGTTAGTACTGTAATGAACTTTCCAAGATGGACTGATATTTTTGTGTTCTTTCAGTTGCTGCATCTCCACTACATGGTCCTGGAATGAATCTCTCCCACTCTGCATCATCACTGAGCTTACAACAAGCTTTCTCTGAGATTGGGCATGGTCAAATGACAGAAGGACCAAGTACAGCTCCTCCAGTGTTTAATCAAACAATACCACCATTTCCACCTGCGCTTTCTACCATGGCAGGCAGTGGTGCACCTCCTGCATCTATAGCTGCTCCTTCGATATCTGTTCCTTCTAGCACAGGTGTTTCTCTTCCAAGTTCTGTTACTTTGCCTTCAGAAAATGCAGCTGTTGGAATTGCACCAAGTGCAAGTGTGCCAAGCTCTGTTTCTCCGCCTCCGGCCTCACAATCCGGACAGCAGCTGTCTGGTGGTGTGGCTTCCAGTGTGAGCGCCCCTGCTTCTTTCTCCTTAACTATCACATCCCAGCCCGCTCAGCCAGTAACTGGAGACATTACCCCTAGCATCAGCACACCAGCTTCTTTGGCACTGCCTGCTACCCAGGTTCCTGGTGTCAGTAGTCTTGGTGTTGTTGCACCAGCTGTGACATCTCAATCTACTCCTCAAATTGTAAGTAGTTTGGCAGCACCGCAGACATCTGTTGCCCTGTCTCAGGCTCAGAATGTGGCTTTGCAGCTTCCTCAGCTTACTAGTAGTGGCTCTGTCTCCAGTCTGGCAGAAACAACAGTTGTGAGTGCTCCACAATCACTACCTGAGAGTGGGCAGTCTGCAGATAAATCACAGCCCTCCAATGCAGCTGGCTTATCGCTACCAATCTCTGCACCTTTATCATCCTCTGTAGCAACAAGCTTATGTGGTTCAGTCACTCAGCCAGTGATACATCCCTTACTCATCCCACCAGCAATTACATCAACACCTGTCCTATCCCAGATTCCAGGTGCAACACCTGTGTTGCCCCAGGTTCCCCTACCTGGTGTCTTACCACAGCCAGTTACTAATTTGCCTGCAGTACAGCAAACATTGATACACAGCCAGCCCCAACCAGCTCCATTACCCAATCAACCTCATATTCACTGTCTGGAGGCTGACGCTGATGCTCAGTCCAAAGCACCTGGCATTGATGATATAAAGACCCTGGAAGAAAAGCTACGGTCTCTCTTCAGTGAACATGGTAACGTGGGAGCAGCACATCCATCAGTATCTCTGGAGACATCACTGATCATGGAAACTACTGTTATTCCTGGGATCCCAACCACTGTTGTTGCACCAACTAAACCCCTGACATCCGTTAGCACTTGTATACCTCCGAGCAGTTTGCCTCTTGGACCAGCTGGCTTGCCAGTGCTGACACCAGTCGCCACGCCTGGGCAAGTGATCACCCCAGTAAGCTATATTTCAGCACCAAGCAGCGTTGCAACAGCGGTAGTGAAACCAGGGACCTCTCCCTCGAAGCCCCCTCTTAGCAGGGTACCGGTAAGAAATGCAATGTTTGTATGAATATTCAAGTGTTGTATAGAATAGACTTCGTGAACAGAATCTGGTTTTTAAAGCAAAAATATTCAGGCAAAGGTGTCTTTGGTTATAATATTGGAAGGAAACTTTTATCTTCTGGGTGTTTTTTTTTTTTGTTGTTGTTCCAAAAGGGTTTTTCTTCTGTCTACTGAAACAAATATCCAATTCTATATTGTGTGTCTGAGAACTCTCTAGTGTTACTGTTCTTTTTTCATACTCCTAAACTACAGAGAGTGAAGCAACTGTGTTTTGTCTTTATTAGTGTTTTTTAAAATAGAAGTTTGGGACCCTTGCTTAAAATAGCTTTTTATTTTATCCATAATTGTTAAAATGAGCCACAATCATTTTATGTTTCACAGACTAGTCTTGATTGCATAGTTTGGGTTTTTATCATTAGCCCTTTCCTTGACAGCAGGGATGAACTAAACTGAATATTTAAAAAAATCCCTCAGATTACATGGTGTCTCTGTTCAGAGAAGCAAGGCAAATAGGGAAAAATAAAAATTAAGGTTTCTTACCTTGCCCAAGGGTGAATAAATTAAGAATTTCCAAGAATCAGATCTCTACCGTGTGCCTCCGTGAGCCAGATTCACATTGTTACTTTCCCAGTCCTTTTTCCAAAAGCAAAGAGATAGATGGGATATAACTATCGTACCATTCCTGTGTGTAGATATTTTTCTTAAATCAAAGCAGATATGATCAGCATGAGAACCAGTAGAATAATTTAATCAATTTGACATACAGTGAGGAGGTTACAGCTAATTGGAAAAACATGTTCTTAGACTAATGCGAAGCTTGAGGCCTGAGGGAATGTCGTAACTGCTATAGCAATAACTTTTGAGGATTTCCACAGCCTCTGCAGATTTCTCCTTATTTCACTTGTTCTTATAGTTTTCTAGGAATTCCTTCCCATCTGTTTTGTTCTCAGCTATGCTATACTCAGCTGTATTCATACTGTTTCCCTACTTTGAGGTTAAGTAAAACATGCTATGAGTATAAATCTATCTCTCATGTGTTACACACTGACTTCTAAATCCACCTCTAATAAGACCATACTGAAGTAAAGTTAATGGGGAAGAAAAAGATGGAGAGGTAAAAGGAAATGAATGGAGCAAAGATTCTGGAGATTCTTATCTGTTTCTTTCATTCGAACACCTAGCAGATATTGTAAATGATATCCTTTCCTCTCACATAGCATGGAGCATTAGAATTGTAAGTAATTCACCAACTTGGACTCAGCAGTTACTTTTTAAGCCCACTGAAGCACTTCTTTCCAGTTTAGATTGTATTCAATTGCAAAGTATAGAAAATTTCTGCTATTTCAGCAGGAACATGTATCAAGGAAGCTGGGGAAGAAACTTGGATACAGGGCCATTAGTTTATGTTGAAATAAAGCTGAGAATTAAGAATCAGAAAATTGTAAAAACTTGTTAATGATTTAGGAGTAATTGGACCCGGTAGAAAATTGAAAAATGGAAACCTATAATTACAAATGCTTGGATTTTAAATAGAATAAATGTTCAGGATTTTCACTGTCTGTTGTGGGGAAAAATATCTCATCTCTGAATTCTTCACTTCTAAATTATTCTGTGTTTTTTCAATTTTCATTTTCACTTTGTATCATTTTTGAGCTTCTAGGGTTTAATGCCTTATTTTTCTGGGGTTTACTACACTGTAGGGGAAGGAGATGTTTTGTTTGCAGTCAACTTGTTAACCTGAACACTTTTGACTTGTCTTATGAACATATTTAAAGTGTATTTTGCCTCTTATTTATGAACTAAAGGATGAATTTACCACAGCTTAGTAAGTCACCATGCATGAGAACCAGTAATGTCCATGTATATGATCTCAGCACACAGAAAAACTGCAGTTGCCAACTGCAACTTGACTTTAGTTCCTGACACAACATTTTGGGAACAAGAGATAATTGTGTCCAGTATCTTCACTGATCAATTATTACTGCAATCTGAACTATTAGTTAAGCTGTAATAACGTGACAGCAGGCTAGAACTGGTTCTGCTTGTTGAAGACCGCAGTAGATTTTGGGCCAGTTACACACATCCAGTGGTGTTCACTGTCATAAAAGGAAGCCAGCTGACTAATGCTGTAACTCATAGGACTGTCCTATGTTTCTGAAACTTCAGAGTTGTGGTCAAGCCTCAAGGTTATAGCTGAGAATAAGAATTGCAAATTGTGTAATGGGTCACTTAATTCCTAGGAGTTCCCACTTCCCTAACAATGGAAATAACTAACTGGAATGTACTGTCTGACCTTGCTGGGAGGCTTTGATCCCTCATTCTAACCTTTCCAGTTTCTCTAACTCCTACAACATAACCTGGATGACCTGCCCCTATCTGATTGCATGGCCTAGTCATCTTCTGTGGGTGCGCAACACCCTTCAGGTTAATTAAAAAATAATAATAATAATACCTCTGGAAATTGGTGTAAGAAGTTGATAAATATGCTTTTCAACAAGTGGAGACATCCTCAGGCATGACATTCTCTGTTTAAGTCATTGCTTGGAACTGTTTGCCAGAGGCACATGGCCTGGTGTTGTTAATGAGCCATTAAAATAGATCTGTTGTGAGGAGGTTGAGTTGAGTGCATTCTTGCACTTTTTTTATAAATGAAGCCTCTTGGAAATTTAGCTTTTTTTTTTTTTTTTAAAGAAATATTGCTGTGGCGTTTCTTGCAGACTTGAAAATAAAGTAACCAAGTTGCTATGCTCATAGACAGAACAGCTTGCTTAAAATGGAAATTGTGACTACTCAATCTGGATCTAAACAATAAAAGCAAAAAACCAAACCGAACTAAAACAAAAGAAGCAAAACAAAGCCAACCAACCCAAAAACTGTCCACAGAACAGCAACAGAACAACTGAAAGACAGCCACCTATTTTGTTGCTGAGCTCCACAAAGATTCTATGCTGACTTTCCAGGGAGGAAGTCTCCACAGAAAAAACACAGAGGCCTCTGTCATAGGGCATGACTGACCGTAACTTGGTATCTGATCCTTCGGTTGTTCCATGTCTGATGGACTCGCGTTTCCTCTTGGTTATCCGTAGGTGCTACCAGTAGGTTCTGAACTTCCAGCTGGCACTCCGTCCAGTGAGCCGCTGCCACCTTTTCCAGGACCTTCACTAACTCAGGTGCTACACGACTCAGCAGATTTTATCTGCCTCTTTTTCTTTCCAAGGGCATGTTTCGATTAAACTCTCCGTTGCATGTTATTAATGTCTGTTTTTCTTGTCTTTTGGCATAGTAACCCCTTCTGTGTAAACGTAGCAGTGGGCAGAGTTGCTTCAGCACTGTAGGTTTAGCTTGTCCTTTGGGCTGCTCTACTCAATGTCTGAAATACAGGAACAGTAATTCAGGCTTGAAGTTATTCAGTATTTTAATCTGAACCGTAGAGGTTTTTGTAAAAACATAACACAGGTGAGTTTTCTTCATACAACAAAAAGTTACAGTGGCAAAGTAGCTCTTTATAGAAGCGGTATATACCACAATTAATTGTTAACGTTAATACAGAACTACTGGCTTTCAGAGTTCTTGGTTAATTTTTTTCCTTTGGTTATGACTAGACTCTTATTTCAATAGATTTTCAGTTTTGTAAAAGGTCCGTGATGCTCCTAATCCTAAACAGGAGTTGAAATATAACAGTGGCTTAGTCTTGATCAATTTCTGTTATTGTGTCCAGCAGTTAGCTTGGATGTTATATATGTGAATTGAACAGGTGATCAGTTCAAGATCATAAAGGTTAAAACTGCCTTCACTTTGATTTATTAAGAAACAGAGAAAATGCAGAAGAAAAATGTATTGAGACAAAATTGTTGTATGGATCTTCTAAATGCTATGCAGTGAAATGTAAGGTGGAAACACTACAGTTTGATATACCAAGAAAAGCTGAAAAAATAACTAGGCAAAACCCATGAGATTTTGAGATGGAAGTATGCTGCTTCTGAAGGAAGACTGAATAAACACAATATTATATCTTTAGAACAATATTCAAGTGTCCTTGGGGTATAATTGATCTCAGTTTTTTTTATTTTATTCAAACCTGTACAGACATTATGATTGAAAAGGTGCCTACATGAGGCTCAGAGTAACTTTCTTGTAAAAGTGACACTACCTATGTATGTGTACTTTTTATAGTATTCACTTCTTTCGTCTGTGGCTTTGGTCTGCGGAAAATACTCTTGGAATACATCTAAAATCTGCATTTTTACTGAAATCTGTCCTTTCATAGAAAGGAATTATTCATTTAAGACTTAACTATAATTTTAAAGCACTTACAATATGATAGCTACAGTATGAAGACTTGTACTATACTTACTAGCTTCATGGCTGGACTTCTTTTGGATTTCTGACCACAGAATTTTAGTGCAGACTGTGAGCTAACCTTGATAAAGTTCTGCTTCTTGTCACTCTGGTAACGGTCTTGCTCTCATCTCTTGAAATACAGCTCTTGAATTCAAGTTTCACCTATGGAAGTGCTGACATTTACAATGACCTGTAAAGGTCGTTTTATTCTTTGCAAGCTGTTCCTTTGTTGGGCTTTACAATAGCCTGTGAGAACTTTTCAGTCTGAAAGGATTTAAATTGACTGTTACACAAAGGGATAGTGGAAGAAAATTGTAAATAATTTAAACTGTGGTAGGGCAAGTTTGCTTAATGAGCTGTCATGACTTCCCTTAATTCTACAGCTAAAACTGTAAAAACAGAATTACATGTATTAGGATACTAATCTTCAAAGATTCTTTTTGAACAGGATTTCCTTTTGTTTCTCAAATGTGAGGAATGTAGTAATACCTGGTTCCAAAGGCATGAAAGGAGTTGAGCAGCAAGGCATGTTAGTAGCTTTTATTTTGGTTATGGCATTAACAGACCCTCTTTCCATTTTCCAGTTTTTTATCATCCAGCACTGTCTGAGCAGAAGCTGCCTTTATTCAGTAATTTCTCTGGTTACCCCAATAGATGTCATTTTTCTAGGGAATCTCTCAGACAAGTTTGCATAGGATTTAGAATAGAAGTTAGAATGGAAACAGTCTAATAAGCCAGAATTACAAGATGCTGAAAGTTGGCATCTCATCTTGACTGTTCTTATTGTACTACCTTCTCAGTCCTCATGATAGAGCAGATGCAAGTTAGTAATATATCCAGACTCAGTCAATGAGTCCTTGCAGATGGCCTTTGTATTCAGAGCTGCTTCTTGGTTTTCTTTTCTTCTAAAAATTATGTTTAAATCTTTGAAAGTGATTAAGAATACATCCATTATTTAGGAAGTATTATGCAGTGTGAAAAGGCAGAAATTTGTGCTCTGCATGCGAGAAAACAGTTGAGGTATTGCTCGTTAATTGTATCATGGAAAGGAGAGTGCCACTGTATTTGGTTTTACTTGCTGCTTTCTGGTAGGCTGAACATGATTCATGAGGAATGGGTATGTTCTGGCTCCAAACTGAGCAAGAAGCTAGTTGTCTTATGTGGGGTTGTGAGATAGTGTTAACAAGCGGAATCTTTTCCTCCAGCTGCTGGAACCTGTAGCTTTTTTTAATACTGTTCAGCCAGTTCTTTTGAAATGTGATTTTCTTGATGAAGGGAGAGATGCCAATTGGGTGATAATTCATCTGTATTCACTAGCAGTGGTAGCAGATGGATCTGGAAACAATTAAAATGAGTCACGTTAAGTTCATACTACTTCAGATCATCGCTTAGAACTGGTTATCTCGCTAATCATTTCCCCCAAGCTCAACACAGTTAACCACTGGCGTGGTTCATCCTACAACACTACTGCTAAAGGCTTTCTTCTGTTTACTGTAGATGTTTCTATGAGGATTTGTGGTATAGAAAAGGCAAAAATACAGCTCTCTTGTTTGTTCCTTGAAACATCTTACCTAATTTTACCTCTCATTTGAACTTTAAAACCTGCCCTGGTGTGTGAGTTAAAATTGGAGAAGACTGATTGGATCAAATCTAGATGACTGCTAAGAGCCTTTGCTGCTGTCGCATAATACGGACTGGAAAATTATTGGCTTGTCTTAGAATAGATGGGTTTGTCTTCCTTTCTGGTTCTGTCATTAGCTCATTAAACAACAATTTTTCCTTAGTACCAGTTTCATAATTAGCAGTCCAAGTACATGTCATCCCAAGACCAGTTTTTGGATAATTTGTTCCTCAGTTTTTGAAATTATGGGCATGTTTCTCTTTTTTTTTTTTTTGTGAGTTTTCCTAGTGACGTTCATAAAGAGTTTGTGTAATCCTTGTAGACCAAAGACTGTAGAACCTGGAGACTTAGACAGTCTTTACACAATTCTTAAGGGTGGGAATGCAAACTTTGTGAAAAATGGATGTTTCAGTTAATGTTTCTTTTCTGCTTTTCCAAATGTGTTGCTTAAATTGTTTTCAGCCTTCCTGTGTTGCACATGTTAAATGTAAGCACGTAGCAAGGGAAAGACAGAAATATAAAAACAGTGCTGACTGCTTTAAATTTTAGTATTAAATGCAGCTGCAGTTTCAGAAATGTGTGTATTTTTCATGAGCTGGGGCAGCTGTTTACTGTTTCCTCTCTCATCAGTCCCAGCAGCCACTGGAAGATCTGGATGCTAAGCTGAGGAGAACCCTTAGTCCAGAGACTGTTCCAGTGACATCAGCTCCTGCCTGTGTACGTTTGCAATACTGACAAATAGTAGTCTCGAGTAACCAGTGTTTTCTCAAGTTCATGCACTAAAGTCACTGCCTCTAATATCACTGCACAAGTGCGTAGGCTTCTAATTAAAAACAGAGAGTCATCTTTCAGTGTGTGGGACAGAGCCAAGCAAAATGGAGAAAATACGTAGGTTGCAATAGATACTGTATATCCTGATGCTGGTTCTGGGATTAGTTCTTAACCCATCTTTTTTGGCAAATCCATTAATATCACAGAACTAAAATGGGAAGTGACTATGAAACAAGGGAAAAGAGGCTGCTAAACTAGCAGTATGTGGGAAGGCAGTCATAACTTAGGAGAGATGTTTAAAGTGTAGGTTTCAATTCTTAAGACTCTATTAAAATATTGATACAAAAGGATGATAGTGATTAACATTGATCTCCAAGTGACTATTCATGCATTACTTCTGCAGAGTAAAAGGGGAGGTTCTACTGGTACTCTTGGGTTGCAAGGCATGCAAAATCTGTTGCTGATGTTGCTTGTTTTGGAGATGAAAAGATCTTCTGTTAATCCTATGATGGATCGTTTGTTAGACCTGATGGAATTAAAAAATTCTGTAACGTGCACTATGGTAGATTACTTGGAGTTGAATCAAACTCCTGATTCTGATTATTTTTATTTTATTTCCCTCCTGAACTTCTAGTCTGTGCCCTCAGTAGCATCTACAGCAGTTACTGGTCTGGTGTCCACAGCAGCACAGTCTCTAAAAGATGGTAAGACAGCCGTTGTTATTTTGTATGATTTCTTAGCACAGAGATTTAATGCAAAACTGAAACGGGCTAGCAATTTGTAAGGATATAACCTCTTCTAATAAGTCATGCAGTGACAATTCCTTAAGAATTGTTGTAGTTTTTAGCAAATAAACTGACATTTTCAACCGTAGACCAAGAGAAGGGAATGGAACACGCATTTTATAGAACTCTGTATGTAAAGCTGACTAAAATGATAAATTAAACCTTGCAAAGAATCTTCAGTATGCTCCTAAGGTACAGATTCACAATTTGAAAGGACTGCTTCCTATCTCTTGTGATATTCTTGAAAGCAATTGTAGAACGTCTCCATTTTGTGTTGTCATGCTGCATTCTGTATTTAGGATATCTCCCCTTAATTGGAGAATTTAATTTCTACTGAGACAAAAAAGGGTGGGGGCCAAACTTAATTAAAGAAACAGTAAGAAAAAAGGACTGTTTTCTGAACAGTGCTGAAACTTGAATGATAAATGACTTTCAAAACTAAATGAGTTCAATTGTTAGGGGTGCAGGAGTGGGGATGCAACCAAACAACCCACGCTTCAAGAATAGCCTGAAACTTAACAATCACTATTCCCCTACTCATTGTAATTTTAAAAATCTTCGTTTTTTTAAAAGGGACTGTTAATTTGCTACTAAAATTATTTCTAATTTATTTAGTAAACAACATTTAGATTGCAAGCTCAATGACAAAACTTTAAAAGCTAATAAAACCAACAGAAAAATAAAATAGCCCCTTTCTGGTATGCTTGATAGATAACTATGTTGTTAAGCTCCTTCTCCTATTAGAAAGTTAGTTCCTCTGCCTGTTAATTTTAGGTAGTAAAGTAAGCAAAGTGAAAAGTTGCTGAATAAACCCAACAAGCTGTCCAACAGAATTAGTTTAAAAATAGAATGTTATTTCTCAGCTTTGTAACCTTATACTGCTAGTGCATACAACAATAAAATCAGGAGCTACCATCTAAGGATCCAGCTCTGAAGGCTTCACGCAGCCCTGAGTAAATGTTTATACCATTTCTTAACGTACCACTTTTCTATTAAGAAATTGCCTCCAGCATTTGAAATTTATGTAGTCACCATGGGTATGGAATTGAAATATGTTTTCTTAGATAAATGTCACTTGTTTTTTATTTTTGGTTACTTCACATCCCTGCTTTTTTGTCACAGTATAAAAGTATGCTTCTGACAAGTGTACTGCACAATAGAACTTTATAGGAAAATACTTAATTCTAAATTTTTGGTTTGATATTATACATGGCAGAGCTGAGAAAGGAGATCAGGTTCCATGAGTCCAAAGACATGCTAATTTTCCTCTCAATCCCATTTCCTTTATTTGTTTGGTCTTTTTTAGCTTCAGCATCATGTGGTGGAGAAAGCAGTGGTATGGCTTCCACACCAGGAGCTGGTGTTCTTAAGATGGGACGGTTTCAGGTAGGTTCTGGGGGAACCTTATAGCAGGCTTCCAGTACCTGAAGGGGCCTACAGGAAAGCTGGAAGGGAGTTTTTATAAGGGCAGGTAGTGATAGGACGAAGATAAAGGGCTCTAAACTGGAAGAGGGTGGATTTAGACTACATATCAGAAGGAAATTCTTTTCTGGGAAGGTGGTGAGACATTGGAACTAGTTGCCCAGAGGAGTTGTGGATGCCCCGTCCCTGGAAGCATTCAAGACCAGGCTGGATGGGCTTTGAGCAACCTGGTCTAGAGGGAGGTGTCCCTACCTATAGCAGGGGGGTTGGAACTGGATGGTCCTGCCCAACCCAAACTATCTATGATTCCATGTTAAACTGATTTGGTTGTTCATAGAGAATCCTCACCAAGCAGTGAGCAAGTAATTATTTTCCCCCCTCGTATGGTTCTGCTATGTAATGTAAATAAGTGCATCACGTTAAGGAGGAACTTAGAAAGTCTATATGATTGCATTTCTATTGTAGGTATCTGTGGCAGTGGATGATGTGCTGAAAGAGAGTGACAAACCTGAGACTAAGCCGCTGCAATTTGAAACCACCTCCTCTGATTCCTCCCCTCTTTCTGGGAGCAGTCCAGAAAGTACCTTGGTAAAGCAGGCTGGAGGGCGGAAAAGCGAGGCTGTGGCACATGGCATTCCTCAGCCAGTTCCTGTGCTGCAGCTGCCAGTAGATGATGGTCAGCCTACTAAGGTTGGACGCTTTCAGGTAACAACAACAACAGATCAAGTGGGGCGCTTCTCAGTGTCAAAGACTCAGGATGAGGTCACCTGTGCAGAGAGAGAGCCAATGACTCTCCCTCTCTCTGTGGACTTGGAACAAGTTGCTTCTTCAGCTGCAGCCCCTAGGAAAGAGTTGGAGTCAAGGCAGTCCCCACATATGAACGGTCCGTCCTCTGAACCAGAGGCTGCTTTCTTGAGTGGAATGGCTAAGGATCTGGATGATGGCTCAGCGAGCCCAGACTCCCTCCAGGCCACAGCATCAAAAATCAGCCTCCCTGTTCAGAGTCTTAGCAACTCATTCAATTCTTCCTACATGAGCAGTGACAACGAGTCAGATATTGAAGATGAAGACTTGAAGTTGGAACTCCGTCGATTACGGGAGAAGTAAGGCTTTTTCCTTCCCTTGTGCATGTGTGCAATGTGTAGCAAAGGCTTAATATGAATTTCATTTCATTTCCTCTGGACTTCACTTTTCACAAAGGAAAAAAGCTAGCCTTCTTTAAAAAAAAACTAAAACTTTCTTAAGTGTCAGGACCCACTGTCAGTGTTTACATGGGAAGTAAAATTCTTTAGTGGAAAAGTAATACATAATGATTCCAAACAACAGGTATATGCACTTGGTAATCTGTAATCTCAATGTGTGTGCTCAAATACAGATTGCCACGCTGTGGATAAATCTGTGTAGATGTACAGAAGTTTTTGCATATCTCAATATTTGGCTAGAAAGGTGGACC